CAAGAGCGTACAGTTGCTGGCGCATGCCGACGACATTGATATTGTCGGTAAAAACAAGGGCTACGTCTGTTCTGCCTTGTCGGGAGTGGATAGAGAAGCAAAACAAATGTCGGGTGGCGAAAAAGGACAAGTTGAATTATCTTCTGTCATCATACAAACAGTCAGAGCATACGCGTCTTGGCACCCACGTCACTGTTGACAGTTACAAGTTTGAAAAAGTAGACGACTTCGTTTATTTGGGAACCAGCATTAACACCAATAATAATGTCAGCCTTGAAATCCAACGGAGAATCACTCTTGCCAACAAGTGCTACTTTGGGCTGAGTAGGCAATTGAGAAGTAAAGTCCTCTCTCGTCGTACAAAGATCACACTCTATAAGTCACTCATCATGCCTGTGCTGGTGTATGGCGCGGAAGCATGGACAATGAAAGCATCTGATGAGGCGGCTCTTGGAGTTTTCGAGAGAAAGATTCTGCGAAAGATTTACGGACCTTTACGCGTTGGTGATGGCGAATATCGCAGACGATTTAACGATGAGCTGTATGAGCTTTACGAGTACGATATAGACATAGAGCAGCTAATTAAAATTCAGCGGCTCCGCTGGTTTGGCCATGTCGTTCGAATGGACAGAAACGCTCCTGCTCTGAAAGTATTCAACGCGGGCCGCGATGCTGGTAACAGAGGAAGAGGGAGGCCCCCACTGCGATTGAAAGATCAGGTGGAGAAGGACTTGGCTTCACTTGGCATTTCCATTTGGCGTCAGTTAGCACCGAAGAGAAATGACTGGCGTGCTGTTTTGGACTCGGCCAAAATCGCTTAGGCGGTTTCAGCGCCAATAAAGAAGAAGATTTACTGATTTATCGAAGATTCCGTATTTCTCTAAATTACCCTTATATGGAATGTGGGCGTGGTTATTGTCCGCTTTTAAAAATTTTCGGCCATTTGGTATGCTGTACCAAGGCCAAAAACTGTGCCAAGTTTGGAAGAAATCGGTGCACTGGTTGCCATGTAACCACACATGTAACCATAAGTGGGCGTAGCTACGCCCATTTTTCGCAACTTTGTAATATTCTTATTTTTCGTCTAAAATTATTGTAAATATCAATTGTGAGTGAATAAGCTTCAGTAGTTACTAAAATATCGCAGTTTTCGTATTTATGAAAATTACCGTTATATGGGAGATAGGCGTGGTTATTGTCCGATTTGGCCCATTTTCAATACCATCCGTCCTACGCCCGAAAGAAGTACACGTACCAAGTTTCGTTAAGATGATCTTAATTTTTACTCGAGTTATCGTATGCACAGACGGACGGACGGACAGACAATAACCGCTTGATCGATTTCTGTTTTCATCCTGATCATTTATGTATACATTTGTCTATATCTATCTCGATTCGTTTTGCCTGTTACAAACAACCGTTATGTGAACAAAGTTATAATACCCTCGTGCACAAGTGCGCTCGGGTATAAAAACCGTCAACGATCCCAATTAAAAATTCAAACTTTTTAATTTAAGAATTAGAAGTTCTATTTAAGATTGATACTTTGATACTTAAAATTTTCTTTCATGATACTTTTGACCCATTTTATGGGAATTTCGGTGATACATTTCTTCTGAACGCTGCTGCAACACTGATTAGAACACCCGCCGGCATATGAGATATAACACAGCCAAAGCGGATTTTGAAGTTTGCTCCGCGGAGTTTCGTGGCGATAGATTTATTTCTATCGCTCTGCTGGGCGATGGCGGCAGTACATGCCAAAGGTGGCCGCAGGGGCGCACCCAGGAATATATTTTGGGAGGGGTTTATACTTCTGAAAATTCGCTTCAGATAAAATGATCATTAAAGTACATTTATGCAAGTTTTATGTACAGTATGTAATAAATAAATAAACTTTTTGAAGTTTCATAAATTGAATTTATTTACATAAAATTAGCAAAAAACATTTGTAACCGACTTCGAAAAAGGGGTAGGTTATCAATTCGCCGGAATAGTATGCTAACGTATAACTTTGGACCACGTTAACCGATTTCAATAATTCTTTTTTTTTATCGGAAAGATGGTACCTCGAGGGTCTTCCCGTAATTTGAAATTACTTGTTTAATATAAAGTTCTATAAACACAAGATGCGCTCAACTTTCAAAAGTAATAAAAAATTAAAAAAAAAATTGTTTTAATGTTCATTTTCCTCGAAATCTGGTTTCTGGTTTTCGAATGAGATGGTAATTTTTTACGATTGCCTAATTTTTTTAATATTTCGAATACCGAGAAAATTAAATGAACTTGAATTTTTGTAATGTAGGCAATTTTGGTGGAACGAATTCGAAGTGGGCAAATTAAATCTTCGAATCCTTGTTAAGGACATATCAGTTGTAAACTCTTTGAGGCTCAGTAAGTGAGTATGCATTGCATATTTTTAGGTTTCATTCGCAGTTACACTTTTAAGAGCTCTCAAAAAAAACGAACAATTCATATAAAATGGCGCACAAGAAATGGAATAGGAATTTTCTTCTATCAAAATTTCTTAAATCAATTTGCATCTCTCAAGAAAAAAATGCTCGTATATTTATTTCTTTAAGAAAATTTACAGCAAAAGCAAAGTACTTTATAATAAAAAATATTTCTTGTGATTTTTCTTGAGAGCTGGCTTTAGGATACAGTTTGTATTTCAGGTTATTAGCTTTAGGGGGGGTTTGAACCCCAAAACCCACCCCTTGTGTGCGCTAATGGGTGGCCGTATGTTTTTTTTACTTTCAAAGATTTAGAAGAAAACAACATATAACACGAATTATTTTTGTTGGTTGAAAAACACAGTGACGATTCGTTAAATCTGGCTTAAAGTAAAATAATTTATAATAATTCCCCCTTGCTGAATAGATTAAAACGTTACCAAGGTACTTAGAATTGCGGTTACAAGAAGTGGTGGCATTTTTTGGGAACAAAATTTCTCGGTGTAAAAATGTTCGCTAACAAGCAGAATAGATCTGTAAGTGTTTAGAATTCAACACATATTAAAAGTAAAAGTAAACAAGCCGTGTTAGCAGGGTGTTTAAATTTGCAGGCCTTAAGGGAGGAAACTGGTTACTTTTCTTAATATGCGTAAATTTAAACAAACAATTTTTAGAGCTTATCTTGTGCCTGAGATAATTGTTGACCTATTTGTATCATTTTTTCCGCTTGCGAGTGGAGATTTTCTACTGTTAAGTGCGTTTGCCTTTGGTCCAATATGCTTCCACGAACTATTTTCATTTTCACACCCTCATCATTATTTATGAGTCATTTGGTCGCACTTAATTATAAGTACATATTTATGGCAACGCGAACATGTTGCAGCACTTAAAAACAATTAAAAAGAAACGTTTTCTACGAAACCATGTACGATGTTAATTTTTCACCCCCTAGAATTTTTCTAAATGGAATAAAAAGAATCGTATTTTTTTGTTAAAAAAAAAAATTATATTTAGAACTGCCTTAAATCCCACGAAGCTTGTATTTTATATGGAGGAAAAACACTTCTTCGTAGAAATGGTATAAAATTTTGGAAAATCAATATTTTTCTAACGGAAACTCGGTTTCCCTTCAAGAGACTTCCAATAATAATACCCAATTGTTTGTTTCATCATTTTTTAATACTAATAAACTTTTATGGGTCCCTCACTGCATTCTTTGGGGACCTATAAAATTAGTTAATATTAAAAAATTTTCAAATAAACAAGTATTGTTCTTGGAAGAGGGAACGAGATTTTCTGATCGGGAAATATTGATTTTCAAGAGTTATATACCATTTCGACGAAAAAGTTTTTTTCCCGTATAAAATACATGGCTTTGAGGAAGCTCTAAATATCTTTTTTTTTACAAAAAATACGGGTATTTTCCCCCTATTTAGAAAAACTATTGGGGGTGAGAAATTACCGTTTAGAACAACCTCCCCCGCACATATTTTTGGACCAGCCTAATGCGCATACATAACTACATGGTATCCCTGTGGGGAAACGCACTAGTTCTGAACTGATTCGGTACTAGAGAATTTAGAACAATGGCTCGAACGTGTGGATCGTTAGCAACTGGCAACGCTGCATCCCTTTTTCGATAGTACCAATGCAGTAATAAATTCGCAGACGAAAAAGGTAACATGATCTTTCAAACAGTGTTTTTGGTTTTTTTCGTGGTAGCAATTTTAGGTTTTTCCGAAGAAATGTATTTTCTATTTGAAATCAAATTTATTTAAATTATTTGTAAGATATGTATGTAATTGAAACTGAGCAGTTGAAAACACGTTTACATACCTTTGGCGGTAGCTGACTGTGCAGAGGTGCTTGTTGTTATTGGATAGTTCCAAACCAGTTATAAACTCAACAGATGAGATCTAGTTCGTTCTGCATTCCTTTATCTACAATTCAGAACCATTTCTATATTCGTTTCGTTAGATCTGGATTTCTAATGAAGTTTTTGGGACTTATCACATTTTCTGTGACTACATATGTTGACTTTAGCAAATTTGCGTATCACCGAATAGAACTGAGGATATTTTAGTTTGATCTCTTAAAAAACGCTGCAATTTTAATTGTTCTTACTTCTACGTAAGTATCCTTTTTTATAAAAAGTGTACTTAGCAATTTTTCACTCTCACCTGGCGATGTGCAGTTTTGAAAATATTAAATATAATTGTTATTAAAAGTACCACAATTCGCCGCCTTTCAACTGGAGGTTATCCAGATACTATCGGACTGGTTCATTTTTGGCGATAAAGATCTAGTGTACGAATGTATACACATATATAGCACAACTTTGGGGTTTTACAATCTTGTCTCAAAGTGAAAGTCAGACAATTTGGTTTCCGATGGTCTGGTAAATGCACGAGTACATTTCAGTAATTTGCAATGTACTACACTCGAAAAACTGACTGGATTTACAAATCGATATTTGTTAGTTATAATTATTACGAAAATTAATTTGAAGATATATTAAATATTTACTGAATACTTTCTATCACTTACCGTGTTGTCCAGTATTTGTTATGATGACCCAAAAATCGATTGTCTTCTCCGGTCCTAATTCTTCATAGTCCCACTTCTTTTTCACACGCACCGCACCATTTGTTTCGACTGTCACCCAAGGATTGTCGTCACGTATTTTAAAGGTTTCCTTATCGGTCTCCTTTTCCAGTTGGAAGACAGATTTACCTTCGGTATCGCCATCTGCCTCGGTGAACTCGATACGTTTTGTCGGGCGTACCGCGCGCGTTACCCGACGCTTTTCGCGGTGATGTGAGTGCTCATTGACAGCATCGTGCTCAAAGTGTTGCATTATAAAGGAAACCGGCTCGGGAGCTAGGAACTCAAGCAATACTTTGGCTGGCTGCTTGCTTACCAAAGAAGGATAGCGTAAATCATGAGCTTCTACCTCGATCAGCAACTCAGAAGTTCGAGGTTGATCGGCCAACATAATTTCACCGGTTTGCGGCACAATGATGACAATATTGCTGGGTGCAGTCAGTCGGTAGGCAATCTTGTCGCCATCAGCATCGGTGGCTTCTACCTTACCTAGTATGGAGAAGCGTTTCCACATAGTCGTGCTGTTGCCTCCTAGCCCAGTATCCTTTTGGCCGGCAATGGCGAATTTGTATTCACTTGATTTAAATATGGGACGGTTATCATTTTCATCCATTACAGTCACCTGTATCTTCGAGACGGTCTTATCGAGTTCATCAATGTCTGAGGCTTGCACTGAAAGATCATAGTGGGCCTTTGTTTCACGATCCAATGGCCGATTTATGACTAGCCACACACCAGTATCTCCGTCGCAATCTACTAGAATGGAGTATACGCTCATCTCACTATTCGTATCAGATTTACGTGCCTGTAAAGCGAAAGCCTGATCATCATTGCCATCGATGATGGTGTAACGAATCTTCTTCGCAGCGCCACCATTACTTTCCAGCGCCGCATCACCACCCAAAGCTTGCATCAGCGGGATTCCTCGTACACGGGTGCCAGCGGGCCGATTCTCACGCACCTCACCGCTAGCGTCAAGCATTGAGCCAGGAAAGCGCAACATGTCACTGCGGTGAATCACAAATAACTGCAAATTGTGCGTATTAGTGGCATTGGGTGTCTCTTCGACCACAACAAGATTCACCGGGCGATTTACTAGTGGTGAGATATCGGATGTGGTCATCACGACGCCGTCGTCGAGCACAGTAAAATATTTGGAGTAATCTCCCGCAAGCATATGGTAAGCACCTACAGCCGTTGGTGATGGCGATGAGGACTTTGTATCCCATTTGGCTGACTCATTCACGGGCACCGTTTTGAATTTCTTAATACTAAAACCCGGGTAGGTATCGTGTGGTAGCACAAGCGAGTATTCTTTGCCAGCAGATCCGCCACTACCAGCTAACATGCGGGCAGCATTAGCCACTGAAATTCCGACTATTTTAGTTGTACCAACTCCGTCATTAGACGTGGAAGTGGTGCTCATAAGCGCCTGCGCACCATGAATTTCGGTGAGCGATCCGCAGATAGCGATGGTGAACATAAATGCGAGTGACAACGAACGCGACGTAAGGAGGAGACGCGACGCGACACTAAACGAACGATTTGAAAAAATACGCGGGTTTTTTGAAGAAAACTTAACAGAATCGCGCACCTCACTGTTATGTAGCGGATACCCCCGCCGTTGCACGAGTAAGCAACGCGCCGCCATTGTGGCAAGCGTATTACTCTTCTTTACACTTGTCCGAAGTTTTCGAGGTATTTTACAGAAATCTACACCTTGGGCTGCACTAATTGTGGGGGTTTAATTATGACGAATACAAACTTCTCCCCTTCCTTCCTTGTTTACAATTAACACATTTTTGTCACAACTGAAAATAGAAAGAAAATGAATTGCGTTAGTAATGCTTTGTTACGCATCTTGAATTGCAAATAATTAAAAATATGAAAAGCATTTTAAAAATTAGAGATGAACCGGACCGGAGCACCAGTGTTGCCGCTGACAATTTTTAGTGGTGGCCAGATTCTATTTTAGAAGTGGCTAAAAGTAGCTAAAAACTTTAGCTTTTGGCTAAAGAAAGTGGCTAAAAACTTTCACTGGATATGTAAATATTTTTTAAATTTATTTTTTCTAATTCAGGTACAAAATTATTTACATTTAATGTAAAGAACACACAAAATTTGCATACTTTAGCTTCAATTTTGTATAGATGAATATATTTCAACACATACATAAACATTTATGTAGTTTGTAGTCTTATTGCATGACGCTTCTTTGGAACCAGTATGAGTCGCGTATTCGTCTATATCTAAAGTTGTTTTAACAAATATCTTTGAAAAATATTCAAAATAAGCATAGAAAGGCCCAAAAATTTTTATTCGTGTTTACTTGTACATTTTCTTAAGCAAAAAAAGCATACTCGGCAAAAGCTTTGAATTTGGAGCGCTTTTAAACGAGGAATAGTAGTTACAATAGTAGTTGGCGGCCGATGTGGTGTAGTGGTAAGCAGCGCCTGGGTTTAAGCCCTGGTTAAAGCAACATCGCAAAAAATTCCAAATATCGAACTCATTTTCTACTGATTCTAGTGACGACTCGCTACCCGTTTCCATAAGATCATCGGGGCACATTGTTTAAGTTCGCAAGAACTTCATTACTGAGGCTAATGCTAACGGATCTTTGAAATTAATTTTTTTGAACTGCAAAAAAGAATGTTCAATGTCTGGATTTTAGACAACTACAGAATTCATATTTCTTGAAAATATTTTTACGATTATTTTACAATTAATCGATTACTTTAATTAAATGATTAATCACTACCATCCCTAGCTACGTCCGACTCATACGCACATTTACGCCGTGTCCAGCGTAAACACGGGCACGATTTTGCGGTGCGTGCGAGCACGGGACTGCCAACTATACTTAGCTAAGAGGTGACATATTGATTTTAAAAAAGTGCCAAAATGTGCCAAATAGAAAAATAAAAGTGCCAAAAAAGGTGTCATCCTTTTTAATCCTTCCCATTTAGCAATAAAACAAGAACCACATTTCTAAAACAAAAGTTCAATGCCAAAATAAGATAAACCAGTTGAATAACTTTTAGGTATTAGAATACTTTAGTTGGGAAAAAGAAGTACACACAAAGGATTCTACACAAAATTTATTGAAATATTACTATTTTTCAAAAGTGCCATTTTGGCACTTTATGCCAAATTGAAAATTTAAGTGCCGTTTGATGTAAAATAGGGCCAAAAATGGCACGGTTTGAGCCAAGTTGGCAGCCCTGTGCGAGCAACGTACAGCCCACAAAATCGTGCGTGGAATGCTGGAAGTGTCCAATTACTAACGCGATTATGCGTTAATGCGGGTGGCTACAATATACTTATTATTCGGTATGAAATGGCAGGTAAAATCTTTTTATTAGAAAATAAATTTTTGAAGGGACGGTAATCATTATGTGTAAAACAATTTATATCAGCATTTAATCATTATGTTATGATATTTATATTTTTCACTTAAAAATAATAATTAGTATCGAGTTTTATTTTTTTACTCAGCAGAAATAATTATTTTTAATATTTTTATTGAGCATTGTACCACGATTGTTTATTAGGAAAAATTGGAAAAGCAACAAAGTCATAGCGGTAGAAGTTATTGCAGCTATTTCGGAGATCACATCTCCTCATCAGACCTCTTTTTTCTAGACTTCAGCAGGGATCGAACCTGCGTAATTGATGTTCAAAGTCAGAAGCGTTAACCACTGAGCTATGTACACCCCGTAAGCTCTTGTTGCTAATTTATTTTCCTTATTCAACCAACTACTATCAAGTGCAGCTGATTTGCCGCTATTTAAACTTGCCAGCGTGGTTGTTGTTTTCAATTCTATACATCCATTTGCTTAATAAAATAAGCTCAATAAAAATATTAAAAATAAAAATTTTAATAAGCCACAATAACATTGACAAAGAAATAATTATTATTTGAATCTTATTTTTTCGATCACAAATAATGATGATATTTGTTATTTCTATCGTATATTTTGCCCATAATTAAATATCTTAACAAAGAGTTCCAAGCTGAAAGACCTCGTTTGACATACTTATGTATATGCAACTATCAAAGCACATTATCTCTTAAATTTTAATAACTTTGTTACAAAAGATGCGATCAGTAATAATATTAATATTGATTTTAAAAATGAAAATAATCATATTAAAATATCTGATATTATTGTTGGAACAAAAGCTGAGATGTTTATGAAAAGTAATGTCAATTGTTCTGAAATTCTTGAAGTTAAAACCTATATGTACATTAAAGTTTTACATAAGAGTTTTTGGACCCAATAAACTTAAGATTTGATTTCAAGCGTGAAGATATAAAACTTTTACAAATAATAACATCAGCTAAGGTAGTTTCTAACGAAGATTTACCAATTTTACATCTTCTGATAAGGTTTTCCCATCTCATTGCGATCCTGATATAATAACCACGCAGTGGAATTTACTAAGGCTAAGTGAACTTGATATTTCCAGCGATCTGGATATTGATACGTTTTCGGAAAGAGTTGATTCTATCAAAAATGGAATGAATGAAAATATCTTCATGCATCTCGCCAATTTTGTTTTTAATATTATTTCATTACCACATAGCTCTGCGGCTGCAGAACCCAAGCTTTCAACGCTTTCTTTGATAAAAACTAAACTAAGAAGTAAACTTAACATTGACAGTATCAATAGGATAATGCTATGCAAGGAACTTGTAAACAAAAATGGCCCGCACCATGTGTGGTCAGCTGCTAAAGATTCGCATGTGTAATTAATTGATTTAAATTAATTTTTAATAAATTGAACTTATTGGTACATAACATGTATGTATGTATATATATATTTCATACAACCAAAAAATGTTAAAATTTATTTATTTCTTGTCTGTTTGAAAAAGTACAAAGTACATATGTGTAGGTATTAGAGGACTGCATGAATTCATTCAAAACGGCTTATGAATTATTCATATAAAAACGATTTTGGCTTAAAATTTTTTTGAATTTGAGTGAATACCTGTTCTGATATATGTGTCGACATTACAATATTCAAACAAAGTGAAAATAAATTGAATTGAAATAAATGACAATTTTTTGTATGAATATCCAAAAACATTTTTTCTATGTACATATGTATGTATTAATGTAATGCTGCGCACCTATAATACGAACAAACTTGTTTGTAGAAAAAAACTTTTACCGAAATGAGTTTGAATGATTTGAATGTTTTTCATTATTCATTTACATTCTTCCATTTTAAGGTAGAAAAATTAAAACAAAAGGAACAGTCCAGCGCCTTCGTCTTGGTCTGCAGACTGTATCGGAGATTCAGCCGCTAAATTTAAACGTAGAATACGTGGTATGGTTAAGATAATAGAACCGATAAAAATATTGATAACAATATCGATAGCAAAATCGATAGAAAAATATCGGTAACAAAACTGATAAAAACATTGATGACAAAATCGATAAAAATATCGATAACAAAATCGATAAGAAAATCGATAGCAAAATCGATAATAATATCGATAGCAAAACAGATAACAAAATCGATAAAAAAACATATCGATAACAAAGTCAATAAATTGTATCGATAAGTTCCGAAAATATCGATACCAAAATCAGTAACAATATTGATAACAAAATCGATAAAAATATCGATAACAAAAGCGATGATAATATCGTAGCAAAATCGTTAACACAATCAATAAAAATATCGATAATAAAACCGATAAAAACATCGATGTCAAAATCGATTAAAATATCGACAACAAAATCTATAAAAATATGGACAATAAAATCTATAAAAATATCTATAACAAAATCGATAAAAATATTGATAACAAAGTCGATAAAAATATCGATAAAAAAACCGACAAAATATCGATTATTATATCGATAAGTCCCGAGAATCCCGAAAATCTCTAAAATCAAAAATTAGTTCCCAGATTGAGTCTATGTGCCTCTATATATCCTTTTCTCTACAACTACCTTTATTTTAATCTTTCTTCCTCTATCTTCATCTATACTTTTATCGGTATCCTCATCCCCATCTTTTTCTTTATATTTATCTTTGTTTTTATTTTTATGTTTATCATATTCTTCATATACATATTCCCCTTCACCTTTGCCCTTATATAAGAAAAGTGTTTAAATTTACCTTGGTCTTAATTTTTGCCTTTATCTTTACGCAACTTTGTTTTTGTTTTTATTTTTACCTTTACCTTTATCTTTTTCTTTATCTATGTACGTACTCAAACATAAATTTTGTCTCCTTCCCTCACTTCCAACGCATGCACGTGTTTGCAAAACGATGACGAAGTGATTTTGTTTGGGAAATCATTTTTGCCCATATATTTGAATCAAATAAACATACTTAGAAAATATCAATCAATACTCCCATATACCAAACGATGATCTTTTGATTAAAGAAAACAAAAAAAAAATATTCAAGCGGTTTTTGAGCATTTTGGTAATAAAAAAAAATTTAAAAATTTGTTCAAAAAATGTTTGCCTTAAAATGCTCAATATTTGTTGAATTTATATAAAATCTGTACGCGACAATTTTTCTATTGCTCCAAATCTCTATCGCGAAAAGGAAACTTTTATCTGCAAATCATAAGCTGCTGGAGCAAGTTTAAAGGCTCAAAATTGAATCCAAAATAAGCCAATGTTTACCGTTCTTTTTACGACATAAACCGAACTGGTTACTTACAAGAATGAATCTGTCGATAGATCTGGAATTTTGTCTTTGAAACGCCAAACTTTTCTTTGAAATCGCTTCATTAGTTCTCGTGCGTTTTCGTGAAGCTCTAAAAATTACAACTACAACA